ACCTCCCTTATGGAACAACAGCTTTTGATTTACAAGATATAGTTTTAGCTGTTAATGCAAAAACTTGTTTCATTCCTCGTACACGCTCTCGTTATGAAAGAGCCAGATATGCCTACGTCTCCTTTGAAAGTGAAGAGAAAATGCAGGAAGCATGTGTAACTTCCTTTGGTATTAAAGGTAATGAGGTTTTTTGGGCATTGGAAAACCAAAAAACATGTCATAAATGTGGTTCTCCAGACCACATGATAGCTGAGTGCAAAGAGAAAATTCACAATGAAGAACGTATCACACAAAAGGAAAAATTCAACAATCTTTATTCTAAATATAACATTAAAATAGGAAACAATAATAAGGACAAATCATATAAGAAGATAAATACAAATACATCAACAAGACTGTACTCTGATACAGTTAAAAATATCAAAAAAAATACATTTGGCAGTCATTCCAATACACCTAATACCTCTAGTAATAAAGAAAGAACACAAAATACACAACTGCAACAATTATTTAGCAATATAGAGTCAAAATTACAAAGTGTCCAAGAAACACTAAATGTTCTAAACAACAGGATAAATATAATTGAAGAAAAAATAGGCATAAAGAAAGTCATTTTACTGCCCAACCAAAACCAAACAAAAAATCCTAAAACAACGCATAACATACAACATACAGGACGTAATATAATCAAACACGCACCATTCAAAAACCAAAATAATGAAACTCAAAAAACAATTCTCAAAAGAGTACATGATATTTCCAGTGATGAAAGTACAATCCATAGTGAAGAAGAAGAAATCAACGACATAAAAGAGAAACAAAATAAACTTCAAGAAACTATGAATGACATATTAAAAGAAATTCGTTCATCATCAACAATGGTGCTCGATAATCATCAACAAGAGACAACACAAAAACAATAAACTTTCTTATGTATAAAAATAAAAATCCAGTTAGTAATGGTGCAAAACAACATAATTTAAAACCCTATCTTAACATCATTTTTCATAATATACGAGGTATCAACTCACCAGGCAAACAAATGATATGGAAGGAATATATTAAAGAAAACCAATTTGATATAATCGGAATTACAGAAACCAAAATTACTACAAACAAAGAAAAACATACTTTTTTCAAAGATGATACATACATTACATATTGGAGTTCCAATGATGAACCCAAAGGAGGAGTTGGAATCATGATACATAGATGGTTACAACCATACATTTCCAAAAAATTCAAATACAAAGGTAATATAATAGGAGTAGAATTAAATTTCAACAAACATTCCAAATACAACATCTACGTCACCTACATACCAAATCAAGGACTACCAGAAAGGAGAGATGTTGAGAATAAATTAATAGACATAGTTAAAAAAGATGCAGCAACCTCCTCAGCAACAATAATCGGAGGAGATTATAATGCAGTCCCTAACCCACAAATAGACAGATTTCCAATTTCTAATATTTCAAGACCAGAATCCAAAATATTTACAGAACTACAGAGTAAAGGCTGGAATGATATAGCTAGAACAATTTATCCCCAGAAAGAGATATATACAAGAAAGGAGGGGGGGAGCAAAAGCAGAATAGACCAAATATGGACAAATTCAAAAATCAGTCCTCATATCACAAATTATAAACAAGAAAACGCAACACTTATTACAAATAGTGATCATGATATAATAAAAATATTGATCACCAATCCAAAACAAACAACACACAATAATAACCCTAAGAATGAGAAGTCTCACCAAAGAATAGTGTTTAACATAAAAGACACATCAACAAAGCAATGGGAGGAATATCAAAAAAAACTAGACAAAATAATAGACCAAAATACAGTTTATTTAGAAGATCAAAGAAACAACACAGTAGACAATTTATGGACCTTTATAAAAGAGAACATTAATAATACAGCAAAAAGTACAATACCATGGAAGAAAACAAGAATAAACAAAATGTATGAATCAAAAATCTTCAAAAGTACGTGCATAATATACAAGGACATGAAAAAAATTAAAAAAGCAATCAAAATGGTTAAATCATATATCAAAACAAATGGTGAAATAGAAATTGACATCCAACACATTGAAAGTATAATACAAGAAATAAACAATAATGGAACAATACAAATTACATTAATCACAAAAAACATAGTTGAGGATATCTCTAGATTAGAAGGATGGTTATCAGAAATTAAACATAAGGGAAAAGAATTATTTAGAGCATTATGCATCAAAGAACAAATCAAACAGAATCAATTAATAAAAGAGGCAATTGAAACTCGATGCAACAATATAGATGATAACCCATCTAGGATGATAAGCAGTATCTTAGACAGACACAAGAAACCTCTAATTATCAACAAAATAATAGAAAGAGGAGAAAATGATGAACCAGTAATATACACAGAAACAGAAGAAATAATGAATAAAACTCGTAAATATTTCAGAAATATGTCAGTACAAAGGCAATGGGATAGAGTGGAGCATATAAGACAGTGGAGCGAACAATACACACCCAGAAATTACATAAATGAAGATTGGTATGAGGACCTTATGACAAATATCTCAGAAGCAGAATTACAAATAGCTATATCTGAGTGTGCTAACAACAAAGCAGCAGGCCCATCAGGCATAACATACGAATTAATCAAACATACTTCCCAAAAATTTAGGAATTTAATTAGGAAACTCCTAAACAAATGCATCATTACACAAAAAATACCCAAAGAATGGAAAAACACATTTATATTCCCAATACCTAAAAAAGAAGCTTGGGATGGTAATTTAGCAAACACCAGACCAATAACATTGATAGAAACCACAAAAAAACTTCTATCAAAAATATTAACTAATAGGCTATCCACAATATTCTCCACACACAATATATTAAGAGGGAGTAATTTTGCTGCATTGCCAGGAAACTGCACACACACACCTCTGCATATCCTAAATAATCTGATAGAAGATGCTAAAGAGAAAAATAAAGAACTCTGGGTTTTGTTTGTGGATATATCTAAAGCCTATGACTCCATGAACATACAAATTTTGGAAAAGGCAATGAACAGAATAAGATTACCCAAAGAATTCATCAACCTTGTGGTCAATTCCCTAAATAACAGGTCAAGTCAAGTAATCACATCTGTTGGAGTTACAAATAAGTTTAATATAGAAGATGGAATTGAGCAGGGGGAAGTGTGGTCCCCTATTCTCTGGAGAATTTTCTATGATCCCCTTCTGTGCAAATTAGACAAACACCCTGAATTAGGTTACAACATGTATACAAAAAATTTAAGAAAACTCAACGTTATGCAACCCACTCCATTATCAGTATCAATAAGCAATCTAGCTTACATGGATGATACTGCCCTCATAGCCAACAATCAAGAAGCTATGATATCATTATATCAAATAACAAAATCCTTCTACAAAGCCACTGATATAAAAGATAATCTAAAAAAGTACCAAATGGTCATTCTAAATTCTAAGAATAAAACTATAACTTTACAAAACAATCAAATAGTTAAAGCTGCTGGAATGAACGAATCAGTGAAATATCTAGGGATATTGATAAATGGCAATGGCACCTACAAAGATCAAAAGAGAAATATATTTGAATTTATGGAAAATGCAGCCAACATCATGAGCAAAAAAAAAATAACAGATATACAAATCATATACATTTATAATAGAGTGTTACTTCCAGCTGTCGAATACAAATGGCAAACTGTAACCATGACAGAGACAGAATGCAGGAAATTATTAACCACTCTTATAAAGATCATCAAGCAAAAATCATACCTGGCGAAGACCTTACCAACTACTACACTAACTAATCCTCATTTATATGATGTGAAAGACATATGGGGACTACAAGCACAACATCACATCCCTAATCTAATATACAGACTGAATAACAAAGGAATCTTAGGTGTAACCACAAAAATAAGATTGACTGATCTCCAACAAGAGATGTGGGAAAATAAATGTATTTTACAAACCCTACCAATAGAGGAAAAAAGTTTGATGAAAGCAAATAACATAATATACAACATAATGGTAATAGCCAAGAAATGGGGGCTTAGAATTTGTAACCATCTTCCAGAAGACAAAAAACATGAATTCATTGGGGGTGACATAACCATTAAAGATATATTAACAGACAACAAGTTATTTAAAAAGAGTACAAAACTTCTGAGGAAATTAAATCTAATGTTTTTGAATCAGCTTGTAACAATAGATGGTAAGCATTTATTGAGATGGGACCACTGGTTGGCCAGAAATAAAACTCAATCAACTAGGAAAAAACCAAGTTGGTATGGAAAAATTGAACAAGTAGTAATAGAGAATCCAATCACTAGAGTCTTACATGAGAGATACATAATTAATGATCCAAATCTTACGTACCAAAGCAACAGCAATAATAAAAATTCCTTAATAATTGCAAAACATAAAGACAATATAATATATGGTAAATATCACAGTAACAGTAATAACAGTAACAAAAACCAAATAAACAATGGGGAAATTAATTTAATACATTACCAAACATCCTGCCAAATATCACCCACCACATCCCCAACAATGGCAGACTGGGAATCACCTCACATGCTTAAATGTGCAGGATGCAAAGGCAATAGTAACAATAATCAAGAATGCATAATTAGGATTAGAAGCAAGGAATCAATAAAAATTCCTTACAGCAAGGGCAGGGATGGGGATTTAAAGCTCAGAATCACTACAGGAGAACTGGGAAAAATAAACCCTATCAGTAATAACTCACAAATGTATGACAACAATAACAACACAATAAATGGTAGTGAAGAACGTATAAACTACATAAAAACACTATTCTCTTTCAACAATCAAATACAAAAGATAATAGATATATACAGAACTAACCAAACAAACAGGAGCAACTACAACAATTTTGAATTCTTCACAGATGGATCAGTCAAGAAAATAGGCCACGCAGAATGTAAAATGGGAATTGGGTGGATAGTTACATCTGGTCCAGCTAAAGACAGTACCTTTAAAGCTAACATAAATAAATGGCCAGCACCATTCAAGGCAGAATTATTAGCCATATTCACAGCTGCTCTCACTGTACCAAAAGAGAAAATAATAACAATATATACAGATAATCAAGTTATAATCAATAATTTCAAACTTCACAAAAACAATCCTAACCAAACAATAAGAAACAAGTACAAAACAAATCATGGTCCTATTTGGTTTACACTGATTAATTTCCTCAATGAACAGAGTTTAGAAATTAATTTCAATAAAGTCAAAGCCCATACAGGAATTAAACATAATGAAGTAGCTGATCAATTGGCAAGCGAAGGGTGCAACTCAGAAATCATAAACATGATAGAACAAAATTGGAAAATAGATGAATTTAACCTTTACTGGAACCAACATCTAGTTCAAACATCATTAAGGCCATTCATCAGAAAGTTAGTAGAAACCAAAAACATAATAAAATGGTTCAACCAAACAAGATTCAATAGAACCTGGCACACAAATAAACCAGGGTCAATAGATTGGGAAAACACATGGCACAATATATTTAATAGCAAAAAATTTACAAAAAGTAATAGAATTTTTAATTCAGTATATGACAGAAGCTACAAAATCAAATTATTAATGAACGAACTTCCAGTGCTTGAAACACTACACAAGAGAAATCCAAAACTATACACAAACAGTATGTGCCCTAGGTGCCTAAAAAGCAAAGAAGACCAAATACACATTTGGACTTGTAGTGCAAACAAAACTTCTGTGATGGAGATAAGTTGTTCGGAGATACATTTGATGTTAAAAAAACTTGAAAAAAAAGGAAAACGCAGTAACAATAATAAAGAAACAATAAACTATCAAGCCCTCAAAACAAGATTATTAAATCTGCCATATTTTAATCATAACAATGAAGCATGTACGCTTGTGCTGCTGAGAGGATTTATACCAAGTGAAATTCAAACATGCTGCGAGCGTGTAAATTCAAATACAGCTCGGGTTGTGTCCAATAAATATATAAGATAAAATAAATAAAAAGTCCAATAAATATAACTCCCTGTATCCGCACACAGCTCAGGGGGCCCACTAATCTATGTTTCAGGCCTCTGGTTCCCAACTCAGAGCCTACTCAAATCTCTATTGCACAATCTCTCTACAGTACTAATGGAAGTACTGCTGGCCTAAAAATGATAAATAAAAAGAATATATACAAGAAATATTTACAACTATACCACCTGAGGCGTCCCTACAAGCAGCATAGAACAATCAAACGGGGGGTTCTAACTAATGATTAGTGGCCAGCCACTAATCATCAGAGAGGACCATGGAACAATTCACAATGGCTTTTC